TCAGCAGGACCTTAGGAAAAATAAAGTTTTACACAGCAATCGTGGCAGCACGGATCATCATAGATGATGATAAGGTGAAAAATTATCATCAATAATACCCTTAAAATAAATGCAAGAGCACAGTTCTTAGAACTGTGTCTTGAGACTATTGCTAACGGTACACTAAGGGCAAGACATCTAATGGATACCCAGCTTGGTGCCCACCTAACCCATTTCCTCTTCAGTGTGGTCACAGCTGCACAGGCACTCATTTCTCAGCCTTTGCAGAGTGGCCTATGCCTGCATTCAAGGTGCTGAAATATGAGCCATTGCCAGGCCTAGCCCAGAAAAACCACACACTTCCTCATTTCATAGCATGATACAGGCAAACACAGTGACTTTAGAGGCCATAATACTGATGTTGGAGAATTACTAACTAGGAGCTTAGGTCCCTACATCACTGCTTGCAGGGCAGCTGCTCCCTAACCAGGTTCCAAGAATAATAATACAAACCTCAACTGTGCTAAGCCATTTAGAGTTGAGGGTTTGCTTTCATTTTTTATTTAATTCAACTTCATTCTATTTTAAACATTTATTCATTTATCTATTTATTTGTTGTGATTTTCAAGCCGCCAAGTCCAGGACTCCAACCATGGTCAGCCATGTGGGACTCCTGAGCCTTTACCACCATGCCACCTGCTGGCCCGAGGGTTTACCAAATGTTACCCAAAATTACAATCCTGGAAAGAACAAAATGATATGGTTCAAGTAGAGTCATGTGCCACATTAACGACACCTCAGTCAACAACAGCATTCAAGTACAACAATGGTCTCATAAGGCTCTAATAAGGTATACCATATAGCCTAGGTGTACAGTAGGCAATACCATCTAGATTTGTGTAAGTACATTATGTGCACACAATGAAATCACTTAATGATGCGTTTCTCAGAACATTATTATTACACAACACATGACTGTATTCACTTTTCTAATACGTCTTGATTCAAAGAAAGTCTAAATTGTTTGCAGCAGCTTTGTCCTATGGAACTTTCTGTGATGATGAACATGTTCTGTAATTCACACTGCCCAATATGGTAGTCACTAGGCACATGTGAGTAATGATTATCTAAAAAAAAAAAAAATGCTTTAAGAGAGATTTGTTTTTGCTATAACATGTGTGCACTTGCCAGAGAGATAGAGAGAGAGACAGACAGAGAGACAAAAAGAGAGAAGTCACCCCCACCCCAGGGGAAGCAATCCCTTCTCCTCCATTTTCCTCTTGGAATTTTGGGCATGCATGCACACACGCCCA